AATATTTTAAAATATTTAAACAATATATTTAAAAATACATGTATTTAAAATTTATTCTTTTAATTCTTTTTTAAACAATGTATTTTAAAATGGAAATTAGTAGAGTTAGTTTGTTAGTGGCTGGAATTTTTTCAGGAAAGTGAACCTTCCACCCCCTCATTTGAGGCGCGCGACCATTAGGTCGCAAGTTAGTGGAGTTCACGGCGGTGGCAGAGGTCGAAGCCCTGACTTCCGCCTCATCCAAGCCCTAAAGTTTGGGGGCCAACCAATTGGACCACAGGCCCGGTTGATGATTATGATTAATTGAACGTTAAAAACAATTAATAATGATAATAATTGATTTTGTCACTCTTAAATTATGACGGATTCAAATCAAATATGAATTAATTAATAACCCAGTAAATTTTTAAAAATCGAGTGATTCATAAAAAAAAAGAAGATAACAATTGATTAATAAATAATAAATAATATTTATTATTTAACAAATTAAAATTAATTTATGTATTAATATTTTTAAATACTATAATTAACTGTTTTAAAAAAAATTTAAATGATACAAAAAAATTTATTTTTTTTGGTTTCCAAGAGGTTGCGCCTGAAAGCTTTAAAGAAGCTTACGTGGCCCAATAAAAGGGAAAGTGTTGGCCGGAAAGTGCAAAAAGCGAGTGCCCCTAGCACTGCACTCTTTAGTAAAAGGCCAAGGAATGGTTAGCTCTGTGCTCACTGCGTGGCTGCGTACAAAAAAAATTATTAGTTAGTCATAACTACTTCGTATAGAACATTAACCATTCTATTAGTTTGAGTTGATATGACATCGATTGACGTGGAAAACAATTTTGAATATTGATACCATCACTCCATCACCCGAGGTTATGTAATGGAGTAGTGAGGTGTTTTTCCAATGTTTTTGGCACTAATTTATGTAGAGGCTGCGATATTCAAACTTGATAAATACAAGGTAAGATTACGATGTTTGAAATTAGGTTCCCCTCGAACGGATGGTACACGCATGTGCATGTGACCTTGATTGGCCTTTCGTTCTGGCTTCATCAAAGCTTAATCAATTTCTGTTGCCTCCACAATCCCATGTGACTTTGCTCCGCCTTACATGGAAAACAAACCATCTTATTTATGTTGGCTTAGTTTTTTTTTTTTTTTTTAGTATTAACTTTTTGGTATTTGATAATTTATTAGATTTCAATTATTTCAAAATCACGT